AAGAGAACAAATGAAGAGTTAATTTAGAATAAAGTGGGGAATTTAAGTTTGGTATAGAAACTATTTTCTAACATCTGAAATTATCAGAGCTGGAGTTGAAAACCATGGGTAATTATGGATTCTTCTCTGAGGTATATAAAATGGAATGAGTCTCAGGGGCTTGTGTTGGATTATGTATGTCTGTCATGAAGATGTGTGGTTAGAGTAGGTATTTTCTGAAATTATTTTCCAACTCTAGATTTCAAATGCTAGTAGCCAAATATAGTCTTTTCATAATTCTACTTAAAAACAAGTAATACTTAACAAGTAAACAAGTCTACTTAAAAACAAGTAATGTTTTTAAGTAGACTTAAAACAACTATAGATGTGATGGAATAAATTACAGAAAGTGGCTTTGCCATTTATTTCTCTATATAGACAATTTACACATCAGCAACTCTCTAGATAAAAAATGTAAGAACAAACCAGTTCACTACAGATTACACAAAAGTAAAAGCAAACAGCACACCGTATAAGAATAGATAACAATGCTCTCCTGTGTAGCTTCAGAGAGCTTATCATAAAGAGGCCCTTAATCAGAAGAGGAACTGAAAATGGAGAAAGAGAAGCAGTTTGCTACAAAGGTCACTCACATTGGTAGCCCCAGAAGACATCAGAAAAAGAGGAAATACAGGATCTTTGGTGATTCCCTACACCCACTATCTCAGTTTTACAGTATCGTTTTGCTGCCACCTGGCAGTTCGGAGTTATTTCCGGAAGCAAATACACTGTTTCTGCTTTTTCTACCATAAAGACATACATTTGCTGATAACCTTTCCCAGACCTCAGTCCTTCAATTTAAAAATTTAAGTTTCATTTCCCATTATTTTGAGTTAAACTGATTTACTAACCCATGCCTTAGGGTGACATACATCCTTAACAGGTTAAGTGTCTGTTTACGTAGTGCTTCTACTGCTGAGAGTTCCAGGCCATTTGTTAGAAAGGGACTATGGGACATTTTGCTGCCCCTAGAATACAACTAATCAGGTGCCTATCCCATCATCTATGCGTTTAGACCAGCAGAGATGAACTAGCAAACAAAAAATCTAAATACACATGCTGAAAGATCTTTCTGTTTTTCCCCTACAAAATATAAACAGAACATATATATAGACACACATATATATAATCATTCTTTCAAATACTAACATAATTGATTCTTCCTGCAAACACTTGAAAAGGTTTAAAAAAAAAGCAAGTTAGGTCTAATTCATTTAACAGTGATTGCAGTACACTGATCTTGCCTTATGAATTGGAATGGTTTATTAATTATGTTTCTATAATGAAGAATTTCATTTTCTTTGCTTTATTAATTGACAAAAGGAAGATTTGCAGGGATTTGAATTTTAAACAGCATTAATGACAGGTGATTCCAAGAACAGCCAATTATTCCCTGGCCAATTTCAGTGAATTGAAGAGATTTGTTTAGTTTTACCAGCATTTAAAACTGCACCCAGTTTCTGTTTGTCAAAGAATATACTGCTTTGGGGTGACTGGAGAAACAATTGCTTAAAAATGGTCATTTAATACTTATGATGGTTTTTGTTGTTACTGTTATTTATTTTGTTGTTTGATAGAGAGTGTTCAGATAATCTTTGGAAAAGGAACTATTGGATAAGGCAGAAATATTTAGAGCAGATGAGATTAAGAAGATTCTCTTTTTCTTGTTTACATCTTCATTCTTAAATATCACATGCAAATATTGTATTTCCAAACACATCAGTTAATGACACCTAATCTTTGCTGCACTTTGCAATTTTAAGGCATGTTCATGTTAACTCTTTTGATCATTACAACAACCCTGTGAGATTGAAAGAAAAAACATTATAATCACTATTTTATAGATGAGAAAGTAAAGCTTGGAGATATCCCTCACCCAAGATCACATGGCTAGTTAAAACCAGTATCCAAGTTTGATTTGGTTTGGTGTTCTTTTATTGCTGTTTGTTTGTTGTTGTTATCTTTTTTTTTTTTTGGAAAACTGTAAGGGGGAAATTCTTTTATTTTTCATATATATATATATATATATATATATATATATATATATAATCATACTTTAGCTTCTGGGGTACATGTGCAGATCATGTAAGATTGTTGCATAGGTACATACATGGCAATGTGGTTTGCTGCCTCCATTACCCCAGTCACCTATATCTGGCATTTTCCCCCATGTTATCCCTCCCCAAACTCTCTACCTCCTGCTGTCTCTGCCCTAGTCCCCCCACCAACAGACCCCAGTGTATGATGCTCCCCTCCTTGTGTCCATGTGTTCTCATTGTTCAACACCTGCCTATGAGTGAGAACATGCAGTGTTTGACTTTCTGTTCTTACGTCAGTTTGCTGAGAATGATGTTTCCAGATTCATCCATGTCCCTACAAAGGACACAAATTCATCATTTTTATGGCTGCATAGTATTCCACAGTGTATATGTGCCACATTTTCCCTGTCCAGTCTATCATTGATGGGCATCTGGGTTGGTTCCAGGTCTTTGCTATTGTAAAAAGTGCCACAATGAACATACATGTGCATGTGTCTTTATAATAGAATGATTTATAATCCTTTGGATATATACCTAGTAATGGGATTGCTAGGTCAAATGGAATTTCTATTTCTAGGTCCTTGAGGAATCACCACAGTCTTCCACAATGGTTGAACTAATTTACACTCCCACCAACAGTGTGAAAGTGTTCCTATTTCTCCACATCCTCTCCAGCATCTGTTGTCTCCAGATTTTTTAATGCACCATTCTAACTGGTGTGAGATGGAATCTCAATGTGGTTTTGATTTGCATTTCTCTAATGACCAGTGATGATGAGCGTTTGTTGTTGTTTTATCTTTAGAGTTATTTCCCCAGTAACCTTGGTGCTAGATAATTTTTACTGGGAAAACTATACGCTTTCAACGGTTTTACTATAAAAATCTATCACTAGTCCAAAATCTCTAGTTGCCATGCACACTGATGCAAGTCCTATACACAATCAAAGGCTGATTAGTTCTTTGTAGACTATTCTAGTGTCCATAAACAGGGATGAAGATGCAGGCAGGTGAGGTACTAAAATAAAGTTGTTCTCTGTGAGATGCTATTTGCATCTAATTTGTCTCCAACAGTGCTTAAAAAAGAAAGAGAAGGATGAGGTCAATTACAGAAAAGAGACAATACCATCTAGTAATTGGGAGATCTGACAAGAAAAAGGTTTCTAGAGAAAAACTAAATTCATTCCCAGTGATATTTAAGTACAATTCCTAATCTGCTAAGATAAGTGGTCCAGACAATGGATTTATTTTGTTTGAATTTGCTTGCTTATAGGGCCTGAATGACTAGTCACATTATAAAACGTTCACCATGTAGTGCAAACTGAAATTTTCAAAGCCAGTGCCAGTGAAAATGTATGTGCTTCAGTATCAGAATTATCTGCATTTGTCTCTGGAATCTGTGACTGCTAGTGGAATAGCCACAAAAATCACTTCACCTCTCTGATATACACTTTCCTTATCTGTAAAATGGCATATATTTGGCACTCAAGAAAAAGTAGGTACTATTGTGGGAATTCAAATGAGAGTGATGAAGGTCACTTGCATTACTTCACTATGTTCAAACAGCAACAATGTCTGTACACCTCTGAAAACTGCTTTCCAGGAGATGGAACACCTGGAAATCAGGTTGTGCAGTACACTTCAAGGCAGGCATAGGGAGGAAAGTTTTAGGACATTGCGGAAGTGTCTGCTGCCATGAGCAGGGCAGTGACGGAAAATTGCTAAAAAATTACCCCTCCCCAAATTATGTTCATACTTGTATTTATTTTTAAACTGTAATTACATTCATTTGCACCTCTTATTTAACCAAATATAAGTAAGTTAACATTTATTGAGGTAATATATTTGAAAATAATTTTAAATCCAGTGGCACTTTAAAGTTACAGGATCAAACTATAATTATTTGTTTTCAAGAAAAATAAATTAGCTTATTTATTTTCCATCACCTGAAAATCTTCATGGATTTGGGTTCAATGATGAATAGTCTATTAATTTACTTTTTTTAATATATGTTTCTCTAATTAGAAAGGAGTCTGAAAAAGTCAAGGACTATTTCACCCTGGTATTCTTAGATCACTCACTACAGTCTATTATTTGACATATTATGTTTCCACTGTTTAAACTCCTTTTGTCCACCCATTATTGTTTATACCTGCAAAAAATTCAACACCAAGTTCAGCCTGGTTACAAATTAATGCCATGACCTTTCCTATCCTACTTGTATATCCAGAGGCAGCACTCAAATGTGAGACTAAAACTCACCCCACTCAATAAGTAAATAATGTTTGTGTATTACACATGATAGTCTTTTATCAGGAATAATAATGCAGTTTTCGTTTTTACAGGAAATAGAAAATAAAACCTCAACAAATGGATTCAGCCATTCAGAATGGCTCTCAAATAGGCAGTGCTGAAAATTGATCCGGTTACTTATCAATTACATTATTTAAAGATGACATCAGCAGCAAAGCTGAAGCCAACGCTGGGCCATTGCCCACACCATGTCAACCTTTCCAAATTTAAAAAAACCCTACTCTTTAAAGATATAAGCATCTCTAGGGCTGTAATTTGAGCTTTGAAACCTAATCAAACAGCTTTTCGCCAGCCTCATTTATAAGCAGTGATCCATGTTCCACATAAACACCTGAACATATGCCAGCCAGTGCTAGCAAAACATTTCATAGCATATCATCATTAGTGATGAGAAAATACAGAGAAAATTTCTAGAGAAAATAGAGTATTGCTTGAGATTGTTCCTATAATATTTATTCCTGATTCTGTTTATGATTCATTTTATAGATTAGCTTTTTGGAATATTGCTAACTGAAATCTTAAATTGAGACTTTTCAGTAATGACGTGATCTTTGACTTTACTCAAACAATTCCATTATGTTCCATCAGTGTGAAAGACATTAGGCTTCTTTACCTGGGGGGTTATGTTCATTGAGAATCACAAGTGATGCTGGCGTAGGTCTTCTTTTCCTGATCTGTGAACAGCAAAAGCCCAGATAATATCAGTGAGAATCAGACACTGCCCCAGATTACTCTGCAGCTTGCAAAGCTGTCTCATCCTCATCTTTCCCCAACATAGAAAAGCAAACTCTGGAGGGCACACATAAGGTGCTCCCTAATTTTATTTTGAAGTAATAGAAAGCCACAGAATTGAACTGTCTGATAGTAGTGTCACCCTCTTTGACCAAAAAGCTACATTTTCACGGAAAAGAAATAATTATATGCATTTGAATGATACAACAGAAAAATAATTTACAGTGAAGGTATGGCGATGACCTGGTAATGTTAGTGACTAGCTTGGAGACTCATAATATTGGTGATGCTTTCAAGATCCATTAACCTTATTTTTAAACAGGAGAAGGAAGAGCTAGAAAAACCTATTTCTAGCAGGTACCACAGTTAAATTAGCAGCATAAGCTTTGAATTTCAATTAATTTTGTTAACTTTTTAATTTTCTAGTATAATATTTACAACAAATCAACAAATGAAGAATAAATATGGATCTTACGAGAATATGTAATTTATTACAAACTCTAAAGTTTGGGGTTTATTTTAATTTTAACAGTTATAGGAGCATAGTAGTATTAGAATTCCTGAAATGTAATATCCTTTATTTGTTTAATATATTCATTTATGGATAAATTTCTAAAGTAAGTGTCAGTAGGATAGAGAATAAAATGTATCAATGACATCCTGTCCAAGATAGAAGCAACACCCCAGGGATTCAGCATAGACACACGTTCAAGGTTACATTTACCTGGACTGAGTCTAGATGCATCTACCTCAGATTGTCAAAACATCCTGAAACACTGTGAGTCACAGATTAAATAATGATTTTTAAGACTTTATATCAAATATTTGAAAAAGGATTCAAACATAATTTAAGTATTATGAAATTAATGGATTAGGTTGATGTCCTTATAAATTTCTTTGCTTTTGCCTCCTCACAGTTGCAGTTCTAAGAGATGCTGTTACATCAAGAGTCTAAAGTAAATCTGAATATGAAAGGTGATACAGATGTAAGCCAATATGAGACATGGAGAAAGAATCCAGGAAATGTTAAAAGACTGTTTGTAATGTCTGAACAAAATGATTTTAAAATCATACAAAAAGCTACAAATCCTACCTACAATATGTTATATCAACTTATAATCACTGTTTTGGGTTCACAATAAAAAATATATGAAAATAAAATATTAGCCTATAGTCTGAATCTATTTCAGGATTTTGAGCAAACTTTTTTCCTTTTTTGTAAACTAAAATGATTGATTTAGCCTATAGTCTGAAACTATTTCAGGATTTAGCGATTTTATTGCTAAATCAATCATTTTAGTTTACAAAAAAGGAAAAAAGTTTGCTCATTTTGAGAATTCTTAAAAAGTTGCTCTAAATGTTGAACCTGTTATTTTAATGAGCAAAAATGAACAGATTTATGAAACCAAATCCGAATTGCTTACAGAGCCATTTTCCACTCATAGTTGCTAATTTCATATCAAGTGAAGTGCCACGTTTTAGCTAAAGTTCTCCCAATGCAATTTAAATACAAGTATGTATAAAAACCAACTTATTTCTTGTTTACATACCTTGAAAGTCACAGCCAAATCAAGAGGTAAAGAACCTTTCAATTAATAACAAGAATGCATGTTCATACTACCTTATGTACAAGAATTTTCCCCATCCAATTTCACTTACCTGCTCTGCTGCTTCGGGTGCAATCTGACTCTGGAATAAAGGCACAGCAAATTGTATCTTTTTGGGACTGTTGGGCTCCATGGTAATGATGATAATTAGTCAGAGATGTGAAGAGCTCAGAAAGACTAACCCTAAGTGGTGTCCGAGATGTGTTTCCTCAGACACACTCCGCTAAGCCACACAGAGTGCTTCGTAATAAATAGCTGTAATTCCAGAGTGAGCAAGTGAAGATTCAGAGTTTTCAGTAATCCCCTTCTTCACATCAACGGTGATGCCTGGCTCGCCTGTTCCCCCACCGATCCCTTGGATCCTCTCAGCACAATACAGAAAGGAACAATAAGCTAATTGTGTGCCTCTTCACTAATACACATGCCAAGCACTCACTCAGCAGCTAATTGAAAATGCAATGCTAGCCTTGAAGGACCCACTGCCCTGGGATTTGAAAGAAAGGCTCTATCCACTGTACATTACTAACCGGCTGCTCAAAAGTGCAATGTAAGCTCCCTCTGAGTATTGCAGGGATGGGCCATTCATTATTGATGAACATCAAGCAGGAAGTTTTTAGAGGTGGGGGCAGGGTTTGGGTATGGAATCATTTCTCTTAGCAACTTATAAGTCAGACACCTTTGCTATTTCACACTCAGCCATGTAACAGTTGAATGGTCATGGAGGGTAAGCCACAACCAATAATATCAGCTATATTTATGCTATAAGATCTGGTTAGTTTAGTCTCATCCTAAGAGGCAGAGCATCTGTGATATAGTGAGGACAGCATTACTCCAGAGCTTAGCAGATCTTAGTTCGAGTTTCATCTTCAACATTAATAAGCTCTTTGGCCTCCAGAAAATTACTGGCTATGTCTAAGGCCTCCACACCGCCATCAGAAAAATGAGGGGGTTGGACTCAATGACCTTTAAAGTTCCATTCTGTTCCAGCATTCTAAAATTGTAGTTCACAGTTTTCATTAGAGTGGAAAGTATTGTACTGCTAAATTTAGCAAACAGCTTGGAAGTCACTGCTGCTTCAATGACCTCTATTTTATTTCCTGGTGGAGCCAGTTATATTCCCTGACTTGGAAGAATATAGAAATGACTGGAAAATATTAGTAGAAAGCTAATGGTAGTCAACATTGTGGCTTGTTGTCAATAATAGAGATGTATGCAAGATAAGGACTTGAAAAAAGCATTAGGGGGTAATGTTCAGAGGATAGGCTAGTGGTCAGGGAACAGTGGGACACTAGCCTGATGGCCACATTAGTGAATGTCAAAGAGGAGGTAGTAACATAGCCAGATGGCCTTTATGCATTCAAATACTTTCATGAAGGAAGCATGAAAATGAAACTGTTTTGATGGATCAAAGAACTTAAGATTTCTATTTTCTTGAGAGGGATTATGTGATGAATACCAGATTTTTAAATATGTTTTTGGATTTGCTTAATATATTTAGACATCAACTATGATTCCAGGTATTTACAATTGAAATTTTTAGTTTTAAATTCTGATTCTGTAACAGGAACCCATCTTCATGATTTAAGTAGGCAACATTCTGTTAAAGGAATATAGAAAGGAATATGCATTATTCAAGTAGTTTTCTATATTCACTAGGGGAAAAAGCAAAGATGTGGATGTGAAAGTGCTTTCAGGTGGAGAACAGTGCTGACTAGCAGGAAATCTTGTAATGAGTTCATCCCTGTAGTGTCAAAGGGAAATTTATAAATTATAACATTTTATGTAACAGTTTACAAACGTCTTCAGAAATAAAATATAAATTAATATTATTAATGAAGTTATTTCTTTGAATATGTCTTCAAATTATATAAAAGTAAAATAAGACAATATTTTTAGTGAGGAGTTAATCCAAAACTTCACATAATGTAGTAATTAAGAACATGCACTTGGAAGCCTTGAGTTCAAGCTTTATTTAGCTCTGCCACTTACAAGTTTATCAATTTAGGCAGTAAGAGAACTTTTTTCCTGTGAGGTTTAGATTACTTCATTTCTGAAAAGAGCTCATTAAAAGGCCAGCATGCAATTACTCAATAAAAGATAACTATTATTATTCTTTCAGCCAGATTTTTCAAAAGGCTTAAAGATACACATTTTCAACCAGAATCACTAAGAATATCTATCTACTTGGAATTATTTGATATGACTTAGAGTAACAGGTGATAAGTAAAATTTCATATATGTGTTTGGTATAAATACCAATAAAATGATTCTCATTAACTATTAACTAACTCCCCTATTTTGAATAGTTTGACCAGAGGCAATGTTGTATGTAAATGGGCTATCTAGACACTTTAAACTTGTTTTTTATGAGGTCAACTCCTGTGTATCCATTTAGATTTGGTTGTGTATCATTGCTTCTAGGAAGCCTTTGTAGATTTACCATTTTCCATATTGGGTTTAAACTCATCTCTCTGTATTCTCAAAGAACCAAGCATAACTCTATTTAGCATAATAACTACCTTTATGTCTTTCGATTGTTTAGTATTTTGCAACTTTATTTATTCATGTAGTAAATATTTGTTGAGTAGATACTATAGTCTACTCCACATCAGGGCTTTTGATATGGCACTAGAGGAGAGATTGTGTGAAAAGGTGTTTGAAATTCTTTTAAAGCTAAATTGTTACTCCAAGAACCACTTAAAGTGCAACTTAAATGTGAAATAATCTTTAAAAATGTTAACATAGAGTTTGCATGGGGGGTATGATTTTCCTAAATATTAGGTGCACATTTTTTATTCCTGTTAGAGACAACAATAATAATTAACCCTTATATGATACTATGTGCCAGGAACTATTCTAAGCGCTTTATCTGCATTAATTTATTTCATCCAACAATTCTTGGAGGTAGATATTATTGCTACCCTCAATTTAAAATTAGGTAATTGGGAGTCAGAGAGTTTAGGTAATTTGTCCAAGATCATCCCACTAATATATACATGGCAAAGCCCAGTTTCAAACCCAGGCAATTTTGCACAGGGCTTGGGCTTTTAATCACAATGACATCATGATGGCCACTGTAATGTAAGGCCTTCAGAGAAGTCAGTGGAAGTCAACAGAATCTCCACAGTGGTTAGAGGTTCTGACCACATCGGTTCCATGGTAAAAGATCTTAAGATGTCATGGCATGTAAATGAAAGAAAAGCAAGTAGCATGACTAGGATACTATTAATCAAGAAACTCAATCATTGTAAATTAGATATCAATACAGAATGGAGAGCCTACAGTTGGATGTTGTACCACCAAACTGACTGAAGAAAGAAGCCTCTCTCTCTCTTTAAAAGTAATGGGTTCAATCATTAAAGATTAAAAAGGCCTCTTGAACAAGCAATATTATAGTCTCTCTTCAAAGTAAGTGATACTGTGCATAAAGATGATAAAACATTAGGAAAACAGGCCATTAGGCCTCCCCAATTTTACACTCTAATATCTATCTTGCCCTACTTTCCATGATTCCTCAAGACCCCCATACCCCATACAGGCCACAGTTCATCCACCATCAGTCCTTCTGTGGCCTCCCCTACCTCCTTGGGAAGCCATCCTGCCTTCCCCCGCAACCTTTTTTTAACCCCAATTATATTTATCTTCTAATTCCACCTCCTTAGAAAGAGATCTTCAGATTCTCCACACGAGAAGAGTCACTCAATTTGTTTCCTCTCCTGGCATTTAATTATATATAGTTTTATGTTATTCTATAAAAATTTCCTATGTGTTTTTTTTGCCTCCTCCTAGACTGCAAATCCCTTCCCATTCTCTCTTAAACATAAACATAACAAGCAAGATGCTGGTCATCCAGTAGCAACTACATAAATCCAATTAGATTTTATCTAATATTATCAAAAAACATAAGGCATTCCCATAAACTGAATTTTCTTAAAGACTACAGCTCACCATTTTAAGCCCTACCCCTTGCTATCAGTATTTCTTGCTGTAGTAACTGCCTCCAAATGCCATAGATACATAGTTCTTATGACTGTTTTTAGAGTTCTTTTTCTTTATCTGATAACTGCCAATACTTGTTTTTTGCTACCTGATATTAACAAGTGCTTTATTTGAGGGAAGAGTAAGGAAAGAAAGGGGAAGAGAGGGGAGGAGTGGGGAGGGAAAAGCAAATTTTTAAACTTTTTAACGTATTTTCTATTCAAAGCTTTGTTTTAAATATCTTGAATTCATGATTCTGGAAATATATGCAGATACATGAGACATTACTTTGCTCAACAATTAGTTGGCTAACTAAATGCCATCAAAAATAAAAACAAGTATTTATGAAGCATGCCTACATTAAATGCTGAAAGTACCATAATGAACAAAAGCAGATAAAATATAAGAACATCTAGATATGAGTCCATTGAGAAGATTCCTAGCCCTAATTCAATGCTTTTCTGTCTTTTTTATTCACCTAAATGCTGGCAGTCACGTTTTCAATGCACCCCCTTGCATGTCCTCCTTCGATTCTGGCTATAACTTCATTTATTTCCTCTATCAAAGAAAACCTATCAAATGCAAGGGAGAGTGACAATATTATTGGGATTTCATAGAATTATCTCAATTACATTCAGTGTAACCTGTTGGAGAACTCCAAAACCTTCATATTAATATTAAATTATTAGTGAACCATTGATACCTAATTGAGACAAACAGTCCTATCTATAAAATGTGATTGAGTCCCAATAATATAAATAAAATGGACTATTCTTTCCAAGTACTCATTTAAATTAAATATCCCCCAGGGAAATTATTAGCCATAGTTTAACTCTTGCAGAATGACTTCTAAGTTCTACCACACAATTTTAAATATTAAATTTTCTTTCAGATCTACAGCTATAAGAAGCCTTATCAGACTAAGTTCACTATATTGCAATCTCTATTTAAATCTGAATTCCCACAGCACTTAAGTATAAAAATACTTGCAATCTGTATTTTGCTTAAAGGCTAACATCACTGATTCATTCATTCCACATTTATTTAGTGACTACTATGTTCTTTAAAACTTCTTTTTAATCATTTTGCATGTTCTCATCTTCACTGACTCTCATCTTTTGACTTACTCTAGAATCCTCATATCAATCAGTGGAGTGTATATGAGTGTTGAATTGAACTGAATAATTACTAGTGTGTTACATAAATACTCAGGATTTTTTTTCTTCTAGCCATATAGACACTATTTTATTAATGCATAATGTTTTGTGTAGTCACTCACTTACGCTTAACCTTTATTCTTGTTGAGGCAGTTTCACTAAAGAAAGCCACAACCTCATGAAGAATTTGTAGCAAGTCCATATTAGTCATGATGCTATAGCAGTGAGTTGACATCAGAA